CCTCCTCACAGCCCACACACCCACACTCTTCATCTGTCCAAGTTCCAGGAAGGCAGAAGCTGGGTCTGCTGGGTCAGACTCGGTGCTTTGAACACTGAAAACTTCCACCTCGCTCACCCCATCCAGGGTGTAGAGAACATGGCTTTAAATGACAAGCACAGTGGACCTCAGGATGGGGCGTCTTGCTTGGATCCCAAGGACAGCCACCACGTGCACATGGTGGGCTGTCCCGAGTGGCCAGCGTGCCATTTGATGCCAGGCTCTGCCTGCAGGCCGCCCATCTGGGGAGCTCTAGGGTTTTGGTTCTTTGAATCGCTGCTAAGGTAGCTCCAGGTTGAACCCATTGTGCTTCTGGAATATGAGTCACTCCTAAAGATTCCCAGTGACAGTAACTCTTCCTTTGAAGAACTTTTAATCACTGAACTATGCTGAGCACCGAACACCAGTTCACCCAAAAGCTAAGGCTCAGGGCTTGTCCAGCAGGATGTCCTATTACCTGACATGATGATGAATCAGCAGACGGATCACATTAGGCAGGGCCATGACATTAACTAGCACTCTAAAACCTTATCCTGGGGTAGATTCTGTGGGCGATGTGTGGGCCACACCCTGTGGAAATTCTAGCCCCACTGGCTAGCTCAAAAGTTGGGGTGCTGATGGACTAAGCTAGGTGTGACCAAGGAGCCTGCCATCCATCAGAGGTAAAGGAACCCGCAACAGTCTGGACTGGTCAAGGCAGCAACACCTGAGTGTGCATCATGAATAGAGTGTGGGGTGGGCCGGGCTGCAAGATTCACGAGCTCATACATGGCCAAATGAAAGGCCAGACTGCATCAGGCACTGGCCTAAAACCCAGTGGCATGTATGAAAACTAGGTCTGAGAGTGGATCAAGTGGAGGAACTTGGGAAACTGCCCTGGCAAGTCCTAGCTCCCACTGGTGAACATGTGGTCCAGACCTGGGGGTCGGACAAGCTGGGCAAAGTAGCTCCAACAGTTGGCTAACGTGTAAATTGGTAATCGAACAGGGTGGACTGCGCAGGAATGAGCAAACCTTAGCCTACAAGGAAAACTAGAGACCAGGAGGGAGCACAGGTCATGCCGAGCTAGGCTCTTGCACTTAGTGTCTGCGAGAATCAGGGATGCTAAGCCACAGTGTCTAAGGCAGAGATTGGGACAGGTGAGGGGATGAGCCAAGTTTAGTCAGAGCAACCACTGGCATGCACGTGATCTATGGCTGGGAACAGGCCCGGTTGGGGAGCTAAGGGGACAACCCTAGCTGGGTTGAGGTTCCCACCAAGGGGCGCATGTGCTGGAATGGGGGCTGCATTCTAATCAGGAAACGGTTGTAGTCTCCCTTGGCACTAGTGTGGACTGGGACTGGATGCACCAGGCCAGGCCAGACCCCAACACCGTCTGGTGTCCTGGAAGACCAGGGTAGATGTGGGATGGACTAGGCAAGGTCTCAACCCCTACTGAGCCATGTGTGAGCCGTATGTGGGTATGGACGAGCCATGGCTGGGCTGAAACATCCAACAGCAAGAACCAGACTGGGTTGAAGGCCATCAGGAGAAGCCACTGTTCCTGCTAGGACAAGAGGTGAACTGAGTAGGGCTGGCTCATGGACCCCCTGGTATGCACAAAATCTGGCATTGGGAGGGGTTCTGATGGAGGAGCCTGGGCAACTCCTCTGGCAGGACACAGTCCCTGCAGGTAAGTGCAAGAAGCATGATAGGAAACAGCCCAGAATAGGCCATGGAAAGTTTCCCACTGGCATACATTTGGCATGGGTCAGGGGCAGACCAGACTGAATCAGTTCACGTCATCCACTGGCAAATCCGGCAGGGGGAGTATGGGGGGACACTCCTTGCCGGACAGCTACTCCCACTGGAGAGCATGGGCTGGGATGGGAACAGATCAAACTAAGCAGGGCTACAACACCTGTGTGCCTCAAGTGGACTAGATCAGGGAAAAGCCAGGCTGGGCTGATTATTCCTACTGGTGCAAGCGTAAATTAGAGTGGGTGAGGGTTGTTTGGGCTTGGCCGCAACATCAGCTGGCAGAAGCTAGCACTGGGGGCTAATTCTGTCAGGTCAAACCACAAAGCCACCTGGAGAGTGCATAAACCGGGAATGAGAGAGACCTGGGAGGGAAATAGTGGGCTCCTCCCTCTTGGGTTACCATTCCCACGGGAGGGCATGAAAACCAGGATGGGGGGGCGGGGCTGGGCTGGCTAGACAGAGAAACACGCAACAACATTGTGAGGTCTGGATAGTTGAGCTGGTTAGATGGAACTAAGCTTCAATACCCACTGCCAAGGGGGATGTGGGACAGACTGGACTAGTCTGCTACACTATTGGCAAACCAGGGGGCAGGCCTGGTGAGGGTTATTGTGGGTCGCTCTGACTAGGCTGCAGCTCCCACTGGTTTATGTGAGGGCCGAGTATGTGCTGGGCAGAACCAGACTGGACTGCAATGCCCATTGGTTCCAGTGGAAGTCGGGGCTGAAAACAGAACCAACCCAGCAACTGCAACCAACATCTGATTGGGGCCATGGACTGTGCCGGGCCCTGTGCTTGCTAGAACACACAAGAATCTGGTCTGGAAATACCTCAAAGTGTATTGGCAGTGAAATACTGGGCAAACGGAGACTCTATGATGGACTATGTCAATTGGTGGGTTCTTCAATGACCTCATCGTGCTCAGAGTGGCGAGACTGGCAGCAATTCATAACTCTTGAACTATCAAACCCACTTGAGCAAATATCTCAGAGCATGCCCCACATCCGGGACCTGGGGTGGGTGGGAAACTGGGTGGGGCTTCTCCCTCAACATCCCCCTTTACCTCAGATACTTGAAGGAAACAATATGGAAATAATAGTCTTACCCACTTCCCTACAGCCCTTGAACCTTTTCACCCTAATTAACTATGTAATGATTGTCAATAATATAATAATAAATAAATATAAATAAATACATGACAAGCACGACATTGACACACATGTTTCTGTAACAGGAAGGGCTCAGGGCTGTGCAGGAAGGGAGGGAGGGTGCTAGTCAGAGGGCTGGGTAGGTACCATGTGGGTGCTCCATGTATGTTCACGGTGAAGGTCAAGTTCCGAGAAGGAAAGTTGTGCATTTTCGGTTGTGTGTGTGTTTAAAAGGTTTAGTATTTATTTCTTTGTTTGAAAGGTAGAGAGAGGGATCTTCCATCTGCTCGTTCACTCCCCCTGTGAGATCACAACAGTCCTGGGTCAGGCCAAAGCGGGGGGCCAGGAGCTCCATCCGGGTCTCCCACATGCGTGGGTGGCAGGGACCCAAGGAGTTGGGGCATCATCTGCTGCCTTCCCACCTGCGGAAGCAGAGCTTCGGAAGAGGAGCAGCCAAGACACACTCAAAGCAGCATGCCGAAATGGGCCGCTGGTGTCACGAGTGGCAGCTCAACTGACAGCGCCAAATGCCACTCCCCACCCCACCCCTGGTTCTATCCTGAAGGCAGGTGTACTCCATCCCTCACCCAGGGGTCTCCACAGAAATTGATCCACATGAAATCTCCCATTGGCTTCCCACAGTTCAGAAGGGGAAAACAACAAACTCTTGACTTCAGCTGCCTCCAGCCCCTAATCCTGGGTCCCACAGAGCCTGCTCCCTGCTTGTTCGTCTCATCCTGCCATCATTGCAGCACGGGCACCCACCACACACCATGTACGCTCTTGGCTCGGCACCTTTGCTCAATCAACCCCCTTTGTCAGAAGCGCTTCTCCCACAGTGGACTTTGTCAGCTCCAGGACCGCTCTCTCCTGGATCTCCCCCCACCTGAAGCAGGCCTGCTGGTCATTCCCTGTGCCCTTAGCCTGACTGCATCTTCTGCGTGGCCTTTTGCCGCCATCAGACACTTCCTTACACACTTGCTTATGTGTTTACTACCAGCCCCATGGGGCAGGCCTTCCAGGTTTTGCCTGCTGCAGGAGCCCCCTGCCCAAGGCCGGACACACGGTACCTGCTCAAGGAAGCTTTCTGAGACAGCATAGCGTGATGGTTTGCTGTGCCAGGTTTGGAGGCAGCCTACTGTTTGAACACAGTTCTGTTACAGACTGGCTGTGGGGCTTTGGGCAAGCTGCCTAACCTCTCTGTGCTTTGTGCGCATACACGGAGCACATCACCGTGGCCGGTTTAAAAGGCAACCACGCTCATTGCCAGAATAATTTCATTCCTGAGCGTTCTGTGGCAGGTACGGGGAATGGCCTTGCAGGCACGGGACTAGCAGGTGCCTAGGACCCTGGATGGGTTAGTGCTGTAGGCTGGTGAGTGGTGGCAGGAAGGGGGCTGGGCCAGTGGCTGAGGGGGCCCTCCTGGCCTGCCATTCTCTGGTGCGGCTGTCCTTGCCGCCTCCCACCCGGTCTGCCCAGATCCGCCCTCCTCCCCGCCTGCTCTGTTTCTATTTCCGTCTCTCTCTCTCCTCCTCCTCGCCAGGCCTCAGGGGGCCCCTGCTTGGCTTGAAACCGTCTCTCTTCCTGAGGATCAAGAAGGAGGTTTCACTGCAGGGCCCCTGCAAGGGCTGGGTCACCTGCTCCTCCCTGGGCCTTGCCCCTTCCCTCAGCCACAGTGCTCAATCCCACCTCCAAAGCCCCCTCCCTCCACCAAGCCGACCAGACCCCTGCTCCCCCGAGGGGTCTTGGAGAGACATGCCCTTGACCTCTGCAGAGGGAGGTGTAGGGGTGGCTCGAGCTGTCAGCCCTACAAGCACTGGACAAGTGGCTTCACCACTGGCCTGCATTCCTGTCTGTTGTTGGAAGGCGCTTGACACCCAGCAAACACCCCAAATGTGGGCTATCACATAGCTGTCACCCTCCCTCCCTCCGCCCACTCTCCAAGGTGTCTCCCTGGAGTTCTGTCAGCAGTGACTTAGGCCTCCCGTGTCCCCCCTCCAGGACACCCAGACACACACGCAGGTGAGCAGAGCGGCCTCGGACACAGAAAAAAAGTTTAATTCTGCTGCGGCGGTGGGTCCCAGCTCCAGTGCGGAGTAGGATTTGGTTTTGGATTTTGTTCATGTGGGGATTTACCTGGGGAGACAGGGAGAGTCTGGTCCTTCCAGTGGGACCCGCCCGGGGAGGGGGGAATTGGGTAGCGTGGAGAGAGACTCGGGTGGGTGTCGGGGTCGGGGAACACAGGGACGCTGGACCCATAAGGGAGGGCAGAGGGAGACGAGACACAAGACAGGGACATAAGACAGACTCCGGAGAACAGAAGAGACAAACGGGGGTAAGGGAGGCAAAGAGAGAGGACCCCAAGCCAGACCCGACGGGACCAGGGAGGTACGTGGGGTGCGGGGGAGGGGGCTTTGGAGGCCGCCGCGGGACAGAATAGGATCTAGTCCAGCCAGATACAAGAAATGGGCCCCTCGCCCCGGCCCCGGTCCCGGGCTGGGGGAGAGGGCTCGTGTCTCAGTGCTGCAGTGGTGGGGGGGCCCTGCCCCTCCCCGCGCTTCGCTGTGTAAGGCACCGGCTCCAGCGAGGTCCGCGAGTGCGCGGGGGTGGAGGGCCGGGAGAGGGGCGAACAGCCCGCGGGGAGGGGAGGCCGCAGCCCGCCCTCCTCCTCCTTCCCTCTCGGGTTGGTCGTGAGGGGCCTGACTTCGAGCCAAACCACCCCCCCTCCCGGGAGCAGGAGGCAGAGGAGGAGGAAGAGGAGGGCGCCGCTCCCCGCCAGTCCGACGGCGGCGGCTGGGCGTCTGTCTGCGGGACACCCCTGCGTCCTGGCGCTCACACGGTACTCTCCAGCATCCACTCGGTGCTGGTAAAAGCCAGGCGCGCCCGGGCGGAGCCCAGCCCCAAGTCTCCATCCTCCCCGGCCGCGCCCCCTCCGGCCCCGTCCAGGTGCGGCGTGGACCGGTGACGCTTTGTCCGCCGGGCGCGGCGCGGGTAACTGTGGCTCTGGAAGAGCGCCCCGTAGTCCCCGTCGAAGGAATAGCGCTGCTGAGGCCGAGGCCGGCCTGAGGTCCCCCCAGGAACCAGGGCTAGCGTGGGGGGCGCCGAAGCCGGCGGCCCCAGGGCCCCCGAGCGGCTCCTCCGAGGGCCCGTGGCAGCCCGAGCCTCTTCCCCGGGAGTTTCTTCCGACGGCAGCAGGCACAGTGAGGTGGCCGAGCCGCCCAGGGAGCGTCCAAGAAGGGCCACCTCCGCCTCTGCCGAAGCCGCCTCGGCCTTGGTCTCCGCGGCCGGGGTGGTCACCTCACGCAGTGCCTCGTAGCGGTCCTGCGCGGGTGGGACCTGGGGTGCACCTGCTCCGCCGTTGGTCTGCGAGCACACATGACTGACCCTCGGGGGCGACCTGGACGTGCCCTTGACCCGGCGGCTATCCCCGTCGCCGTACACCTTGTAGCGAATCATGAGCAGGACGATGAAGACGAGGACCGAGGCGACGATGACGCCCCCGATGGCGATGATCATGGTGCCACCCAGGAAGTGGGTCCTCAGTGGGCGGCAGGGCGCAGGGTCGCCGGCCGTGGTGAACTGCACGCAGCCCACCACCCGCGTGGCCGGCAGAGCGGTGGCCCCGTCGTCATAGACGGCCAGCACGCACAGGTCGTAGGCGCGGCCAGCCGCCAGGTCGTTCACCAGGAAGGTCTGGCTGGTGGACGGGATCATCCTGCAGGAGGGAGGCAGGGGGGGATGGGGCGAGTTAGCCCCACCAGAGCCACGCCCCTTCTTCTGTCCAGCTCTCTGATGCCCGCGTCCCCAGCCCTCCGCCCCACCTACTAGGTGCACTATCTGCTATTCACCACTGCTCATCTGCACAACGGCAGCTCTCATCCTGTCTCCCAGTGTCACCGCTACTGGCAAGCTCCCTCCTTTACTTGCTGCAAGGGTCACTGGCCCTTATCTGCACGTGGCACCTACTACAGTGAACCCACAGCACCTAGCTGATTCCTGTAAGTCCACTAGCTCGTCTTTGATGCAAATAGGAACCCAAGATACCTCTCACCTGCAATTCCCATCAGAAAGCCAAACAAACTTGCACGTAAAATCTCTCTTGGCTCCCTTTCCCAGCCCCTCTCCTGCATACTCCCATGCACACCCAGGCCATTGCTACAGGCCACCCTCTGAACTGACTTCCAAGCCAGCACCCTGCAGTGGCCCTGGAGGAGTGAGGGATCAAATCTGCCACCGAATGCGGGGTCTCATGTAGCCAGGCAAGGACACTCCTTTCTTACTGTCTGCTCCTCTGTGAGGGGTAGAGCGTAGAGTGGTCAAGGTGACCATGTCTGGGAGTGGACTGCCTCCATCCCTCCCCTCCTCACTTAGCTCTGTGACCTCAAGCGTACTTCCTAACCTCTCTGTGCACCTGTCATCTGTGGTGGGAGGAATGAATGAATGAATGAACACATTCCAATCCTGACACTCAATGCTCTCTTTATCAGCTGTGTCCTGGCCAGGGTGGGCCTGTCACCCAGCTGCCCTCTGGAGGCCCCTCCCTCTCAGGGCCCTGGCCCTCAGCTGCTAAGCCCGTCCCTCCCCCCAGCCAGGCCCTTCCCTGTCAGATGATGCAGATGAGGCTCCACCTCCTCTGGAAGACCACACCCCAACCCCACAGGCCTGCCCACCCCACTCTCTCACTATTGCAGCTCCCGGAGGTTCTCCCCCCCACCAGGGGCCACCCTCCCACCAAAAGACTCCAGGCAAGGGTGACACCGTCTCAGAAAGGCCGACCAACTCCTCCCCTCCGCCCCCCACGTCCCTACCCCTGCCTGCCTTTTCACCACCCATCGCCACCCCACCCCACCCACCCAACCAACTTTAGGTCCCTCTTCCACATCTCACCTTTCTCGGGAAGAACTGGAGAGTCCTCCTGCTCCCTTCCCCCAAATAACCAGTTGCTAGGGGCGCCCCTTCCCCCCAGTTTTCAAGGACAGACGCTGGCTCCTTAAGAAAGCTGGAACCTCCACATCTCTGATTGGCCACAAGCCGGGAGCCATCAGCGGAGCGGGGTTCTGGTTGGATGTCACCTCAGCCCATGGCAGCAGTGAGGCAGTTAACCCCTGCAGCGCTGCAGCACAGGCCTCAGCAATGGGGGGCGGGTTGCAGGGATGGAGGACTGAATGCTAGGGTCTGATGCTCAGCTGGGGGTTGCAGGCCAAAGACCCCTGCATCACACACAGAATCTGGGGGCCCCATAAAGCTGTTCTCCCCCTGCCCTGTGTGGTCATAGGTCAGAGAAGAGGAAAGAGGGAAGCTGAGATGTGGTAACCACACAAACAGGAGCTTTTACACAACAGAATCATCCTCTTGCCCTCTGGTCCCGCCTTGCAAACAGACATCTCATCCCCTTTCTCTGTGTGACCTCAGGCAGGGGCCTGGCCCTTCGGAGCCTCAGTTTTTCTGTCTGTAAAATGGGAGGCAGGATTGTCACTGCTTGCTGGCAGAGGTAGCATCCTTGGAGAGATCTTGCAGGTCTGTCTATGTTGTTCCTGTGATGCAAGTCTGGGCCAGGCAGGGCCTAAGCTCTCTCCCCAGATCCCAACAGGGCGTCCAGCACACTTAGGCACTCAGGCAGCATTGGGTGGCCAGAGTCAGAAAGAAAAGGCCTTTAAGAAAGGTAGAGGGAAAAGGAAAAAAGAGAGAGGCCCCTGTGGCACCTCCAAGGAAAGCCAAGCCCAGCAATGACATCCAGCAGGTTCTACCATGTGCACAAGACAGGTGGAGAGAGAGGCGCCCACCATGAACCGGCACGCCTCAAGGGCATGCTGTGTGTGTCATACCTGTAGCCAGGAGCCATATTAAAAACCATGAGGCCAAGGCAGTCATGCACAGCACGGAGGGGGGAACGCTGGCCCTGAGCTGCCTGAACCTTGAAACAGGTGCTGCTGGGTCTCTCCATCTTTCTGTGTCCCTGGTACTCCAGTTCAGGGCCTTGCATGGGGTGGGGCTGAGTGTCTAAGAACCCAAGAGGAAGAAACCCATTGCCATGAAGGGACAGGGAACACCAGGATGTCTGTCTACGCTGCATAAAGGCAATGCACGGTGCCCATCCCCTAGTGCCCGGAAATAACTGGTTCTCCTGTTGGCTGTGTGGCCCAAGTGTCGTTCTATTAGAACCGGTACATACTTGATCAGCCTAACTTAATAGACAGTGGCTTAGACGCTGCTCCCACATGGCCAGCTAGACCCTGACTGAGCCTACAGGGCCCAGAGTCCCTGGGGCTTAGGGTGCCGCCCACACGCACCTGTAGACAAGGGAGTCATCCGCCGAACTGTTGTACTGGACTTGATACATGCGGATGCCGGGCACGGGCCTCTGTGCCGGCCAGCGGATGAGCACCGAGCTAGACGTGAGCTCCGCAGCCACCAGCCGGCGCTCTGCCGTTGAGTCGTTGGTCCCGGGTCGGCCCGGCGTGGCGATATCAGAAGAACCAGGTTCAGTGAGGGGCGGTGGGGCGGCTGGCGGGGGTGCCATCAGCGGCAGGGGCACCACGCACACTTCCACGGGCGCCGTGGCTTCCCCCGCCGCGTTGGAGGCGATACAAGTGAAGGTGCCACTGTCCCGCAGCGTGGTGATGGTCACGTCCAAGGTGCCGTCACCGCGGACTCGGGTCCGACTCGAGTTCCCCAGCAGCCGCCCATCGGGTGCCACCCAGTGCACCACCGGCTCGGGGTCACCCACAGCACGGCAGCGCAGGCTGACAGCCTGGCCCTCCACCACCAGCGCACGGCCACCAGCCTGTCGCGTGATGAGCGGAGGTTCGCACAGGAACTCCTCCTCGGGGATGGACCAGAAGTAGCGGTCCGTGAGGTGCTCAGGAGTGGCACACGTCTCCAGGTCGTCCTCTCTGGTCAGCCGGCGCAGCCACAGCAGCTCGCAATTGCAATGCAGGGGGTTGCCTCCGAAGCTCACGGTCAGGGGCGTGGGCGGCTTGGGTCCTGCACCCTGTGACCTCAGGAAGAGCCCGTCGGGTGGCAGTTTATGGAGGCGGTTGGAGGTCATGTCCAGGCGGACCAGTTTGTGGAGCTGCACGAAGGTGCCTTCGGCAATGTGGTCGATAAGATTGTGGTCGAGCGTGAGCGTGTTCAGGTTCACCATCTGGCCCACTGCCTCCCAGGGCAGGGCTTCCAAGTTGTTGTAGGACAGGTCCAGGTCCTCCACGGTAGACAGGAAGGCGTCGAAGGCAGCTGACTCCACCCGGCGGATCTGGTTGTTCCCGAGGATCAAGTGGCGGAGGTTGCCCAGGCCGCGGAGCTGGTCGCCACGCACCTCAGCTAGGCGGTTGCTATCCAGGTGCAGGGCGCGGAGGGCGCGGAGGTCGGCGAAGGCGCCTGCTGCCACCTGACCGATGGTGTTACGGGACAGGGTGAGGTGCACCAGGCTGGTCATGTTGGCGAAGTCCCTTCGGCGCACGGCCGCGATGAAGTTGTCGGTGAGCCGCAGCTCCACCACGCGCCGGTCGATGGCCGGCGGCACAAACAGCAAGCCGGTCTTGGCGCACAGCATGGTCAGCGTGGGTGCCACGTTCTGGCAGATGCAGCGGCCGGGGCAGGGCTGGCCGCGAGAGGCCCCTGCCCAGAGCAGCAACAGAAAAGGTAGGGCAGCGGGGGGCGGCGAGAGGAGCGCCGAGGAGAAGGGACCCGGAGCCATGATGCAGCGGGCAGACCGGAGCAGCGGGAGGTGAGACCTGCAAGCCAAGGAAAGGTCACCCAGGCCCAGAACCTGGCTGCCCCAGGGTGATTCCCTGCCTTCCCGACAGCCCTTGCTAACACCTTGGTGGGGAAGGGTCTCCTCTCTTGAGAGGCTCTGCCCACCTCTGCCCCTCCCACAGGAGCTCCCAGACTCCCCCTCCCCAACCCCACACACACCCTTTCCCAGCCTGGGCCCTCCTGTGGTCCCTATGGATTTTTGAAAATCCCTGTTAACCAGGGTTCAAGGCCCATGGGTGTCCTAGCCATGCTTTCCCAGTTCCACTTCCAGCTCTGACACTTACTAGCTGTGTGACCTCGGGCAAGTGTCTGAACCTCTCTGAATCTCCAAAACTCCTTCATCTGCAAAACAGAGACAGAAACAGGCCTTTATGCTGGGAGGAGCAAGAGTCATGACCACCTTGTTCATGCAACCACGGCCTGGACAGAGGAAGTGCCAAGAACACAGGGGCTGTTAGCATGGTCTCCATCGGTCCATGCCTACCATGTGCCAGGCCTAGGACTGGGCAGTTATGAAGAGCAAGTCCTGTGAAATCAAACAGGCTCTGGGCCAGCCTCCAGCCCCTTCCCTTCACTAGCTGTGCTTCCACCCATCTCCCCAACCAATGACTTCCCCATTCATGCTCCCGTTTCTGGATTTGTCCATCAGAATGACAACTGACACCTCCTCAGTGAATTTGCTCACAAGCAGGGCTCAGCTTGGGGTGAGGGTCCCCCTCCTCGCCTCCTGCACCCTTGGAGGTGGCACAGAGCGCACAAAGGTGGGAGGGGACAGACACAAGCAGGAGGGTGATCTCGACCCCAGGAAGTCCTTCTCCAAGTCAGCTTTCCCCCTGGGCTCCTCGGGGGCTTCTGAGCAGAACTGCCTTGTATTCACGTGAGTGGGTACACACAAGGCCCCATGCATGCCTACACACTCACACACTCACACGCTCCCACTGTGCCTCTGCTCCAGGCAGAACCTTCCGGCGGGGATTCCCCCTGCGGCGGCTGCAGCCCACGACCTGTCAGCTCCTATCACAACACGTGGTGGGAAGGGGGGTAGGAGGCAAAGATGGGAAGGGGGCGTCCCTGAAGCTGCTTCCACCCTCCCCTGCCCTGTCTCCTCCCCCACCCAGTCCTGGCAGGCTCACCTCCCAGGAATTTGTCACTGGGACTGTGGCCTTATGTGTCCTTACTCCTCTCCTCACTGTCAGCACTTCCCCCCATCATGGGGAGGGGACGTGGGCCTGGGACCAAGTCACAGAGAGGTGCTAAGAGACACAGGGAAAGGTAAGAACTGAGAGGGGAGAGGCAGGCAGGGGAAGCAAGTTAGTAGAAAAGCAAAGAGGAAAAAAGACAGAGACTGTGATGGAGCTAAAGAGATAGGCTTGGGGCACCCCACTCTCTTTCTGGGACTTCCTCCCACCAATTTGCCCCTCTGTCCATCTCTCAAGGATGTGGTTGGATTCAATTGAAAAAACTTGGCCTAGACAGCCCAGCAGCCCAGCCCTGCACCTGCTTGGCTGTGCAGTCTCCAGGACTCACACGCCCCATCTAGGAAACACCAGGACAGAGCTCTGCCTCCCGCCACGGCCAGGGTGGGACCCAGATGGAAAGCATCATAACTACAATGAAAATGGCAAGCGTTTCTTCAGGCGTAGTGCAGTCCTAGACAGAACCTGGACCCCGCCGCCACCACCTGGCTTCCTAACTCCAGTGAGTTCCCATCTGTGGGCCTCAGTGTGCTCATCTGTCAAAGGGGGCCAGAGCAGCACCTGCTGCCTAGAGCTGCTGAGAGAGTCGGTAAGATGCCAAGCCAGGCACCGCGCTGGGCAGAGCTGCTGCTGTGGGCAGTGACTGTCGGTATTATTCATGCACTCACGGCCTCTAGCTCTGTCTCAGCCATCAGGAGGTTGCGGGCTTGTGTCAGCTCAGCAGCCATCTAACCGCCCTCACTCTCACCCCTTCCACACCATGGTCGCTTCATGTCACCAAAACTCTCCTGCCCCCTTGCCTGGTGTCAGGAAGAAACCACTTGAGACAGGGCTGCCTCCTGGTGTCCTTACCCAGCCACCATGCTGCCACCCTCGCCTGGGGGGCTGGGCAGGGAAGCGTGGGTCATCTCTTTCTGCCCTCCCTCCACACGGACGCCCATGCCAGGCAGGGCTGTAGTCCACTCACCTCTCTTCAGGGAGTTAGGGCCTGGGCCAGCACCTACAAAGGAACATGACCACCCTGTTAGTACCCCCGTGGCTGCCGGCGGGAGGGTACCACTCCAACAAGCATGTGGCCCCTGGGGGACCCAGGCAGCATCTCTGGACATGAGAGTGTAGCCATTTGTCTTCCAGGGGTCTCAAGGGCCAGAGCCCCCCAGCCCTCCTGCCCCCCAGCCCTCCAGATCCCTCAGACCCAAATTCTAAGTTCCCATGCTCTTCCTTCCTTAGACCCAGGGGTCTGGACCAGAATACAGTCTCCTGGTTCTCTTTTGGAACTCAGCAGTTCACATCTGAACCATCCTCCATATCAACAGCCTCCCAGGGGAGGCCAGAACCCCTAGCCCCAGCTGTCACACACCTGCCCTCCCTGGTCAGCGTGGGCCTGGCCAAACCTGCATGGGCCCACCCCCAAGGTACCACCTTAAGATTATAGCAGACATGCCAGCAGAAGCTGCAGGCCCCCCACCCTCCACAGCCACAAGGGTGCAGACACACTATACCCCCTGACCCCGGCATACCCCGGGTCCTGCCATCTGGGCCTCAATCTCACAGGACCCAGAAGTGAGGTGATCCCTGTGCCAGGGTGCCCTGTCCATGTAAGTTAATCATGCCCAACCCCACTCCCCAGAGACCAACCCTGAAGCCCCATGGACTCATAACACAGAATGCATACACACACCCTCAAGGCTGCACAACAACAACACACACAACACTGACTCTCCCTTGCACATTCACACCCGCAGGGACCACAGAGAAATACACATGCCCCCTAAAAGACAAACAGGTCCAGGCACCTGTAGCAGACACACCTTGCACACTCACCAACACACCAGGGCATGCAGCCATGCAGCTGCACAGGCTGAGATGCTCACACACACACACAACTTCACACATTCCCCCAGTCATACCAGCAGCCACACGCATGCAGACACAAGCGACATGCACCCCCCCACACACACACATACACACCCAGACCCACAAGCATACCCAGATGAAAGGCTGACAGACACGAGACCCAGCACGCAGGCAAGGCCCTCCCAGGTGTTCATGCACAGCTGTCCTGCCAGGGGCTTACACACCTACACATGCACTCCCGAGCCTGGCTCCCAGCAGCACAGCCAACAGAGGGCCTAGATTCACACTCAACATGCCGCCGCCGTGGACACACATCCCTCCCACCCACTTCCCAGGCCAAGAGATTCCACCATCCCTCTCGGCACCTTCGGCACCCCCCACCCCCAAAGCAGCCAGAGCCAAAGGTCAGAGTTCAGCAGGTGGAATCCCAGGGAGATGGGGTGGGGGAGGGGCTTTGAGTCTTACAGCATCCACCAGAAGAGTTCTCCCCACCAGTAGCCCCCACCCACCTCCGGCCCTCAGGCAACTGGCCACTCTGGCCCCTCCGCATCTCTCTGGCGGCTGGGGGAAGGAGGGTGGGGAGGTGGGTGGGGAAGGGCCAGGTCCTCGCCTCCCCACCCCAGGGCCCATCTGTCCATCCCTAGGCCTCTCATCCCTCCATCTGTCCACCTCCTGGCTGCGCATCCCCCCTCCCCCAGCCACCGGGAAGGGGAAGACATGGCCGACTCCCCTGTGGACCACGGACGACCCCCCCAGTTGACATGGACTGAGAAAGCACCGAACTCCCCTCCCCCAAACACACAGAAAGGCCTGAACCCATATGGCTCCCCCACATCCCCCAAGCCTGAGCCCCCCGGCAGGGAACCTGTCGTGGACTTGGGGACACACACCCTCGGAGGCATATAACCCACAGACACACACACGCCAATGGGCACCCGGCGGGCACACCCGGCTACACAGACCCTCGGACAGACATCCAGGCCGGACACAAACACATAACACAGCTCGCCGCGCACCCACACTGGCTGGGGGAGCCCACACCTGGGCACACAACCCACGCACACACACCTGCACTCAGCGTCTCCGAGGGGCGCGCGACAGCCCCCCTCCCCCAGCGTCCCCTTTTCCCCCAGGCAGAGGGGCGGCCACTCGTTGGGAGAAGATGGGGGTGGAGGAGGACACACACACACACGCACGGCCGCCGCACACACCCGGATGGCCGCACACGCCGGCGCCGGGCACACACACACACACACACACAGGGCCGCGCGGGCGCACGCCGGGCCGCTGCAGCGCAGCGGACTCACACTCACACTCACGCCGCGCTCGCCCGGGCGCCCCCGCCCGCCTGCCCCGCCCGGGCCGCTGCGGGCCGCGCTCACCCAGCCCGGAGGGGGCCCCGGGCCCGGCCCCGCCGCCGCCGCCGCCTCGCTCCGCGCCATGGTGGGGGGAGGGCCGGGGGAGGGGGCGCGGTGCCGCGGGGCCGCCTCCCGCCCGCCTCCCGCCCTCCCTGCCGAGCTCCGCCCTCCGCGCCGCCGCCGCCACCGCCGCCACCGCCGCCGGGAGGAGCCGGGGAGGGGACGCCGATCGGAGGGGACCGCCGGGCGGGGCGACTGCGCGCCCCAGACCCCCGCCCCGGACCGCCGCCGCAGAGCCCCTCGCCACTGCGGAGCTGCGGCGAGCCCGCCCCCCGACCCCTCCCCAGCCCCACCTCCGGCCGCGCCGGCCTCTCTAGAGACCCCCCCCCACCACCAGACCACGCCCCGACGGGCCCTGAGACCTCCGGGGTCCCTGGCCACGACTCGGTGCCCAGGAGATCCGCACCTCCTCCGAGGCCCTGGCCCGTGCTGCCGAGCCACCCAGAGAGGGCCCACGCGGTGTCCTACTCTTGATGACCTCAG